GTGAATAGTTGTTTTTTAACCGAATGCTCAAAATTAAAAAAAAAATTGAATCATGACTGTTAGCGAGGGAATAAGTAGAGCACAAGGTGAAAAATCTTTGCACTCGAGTGCAGTACGTTTTCGAGATTTATGTTTGTAACCTAAGGTTTTAACAATATTATGTAAAAAGAAAATTGCACGTGCAAAGTAAATAATAAGAAAATACTCCAAGAAAGTTCCGATTCTGAGTTTTTAACAGATTAAGAATGGTTGTATGAGAAATTCAGGACCATGGAGGTAGAAGTTAAGGTTTTATTAATGTTTTGAATTGACAAACTTAGTGCAAATGACGTTCTAAATTTAAATTTAGTTTATCCTCTAACGAATAAAAACTGCTTTTGCTAGAAGAAGACTCCTATAAGTTAAGTAAATTACTGATAATTATAAATTATCGAACTACTACATATTGTGGGATAAAACATCTAACGGTAAAAGGAAGAAATTTCACCACTATCATGTCTCCGATTAGGATATCTAAATGTACGAACGTAAAGTTACCTATACATATATCTTTAAATTTAATCATGTATTTATATCGCTCGCGTACATTATAACATGTGGGCGGGCCACATAAGTTTCCGTAGTTAGGTAACAGAATTTTTAAAATCAGTCAAGTAGTTTCCGAGTGTATTAAATACTTTGAATTTTTTTTATCTTAGGTTCAATACAAAAAAATAAACCGCCAATTCTTTTCTCTTGAGATTATTAGTATAGTATTGAGTATTATTTATTTATTGTTATTTGATGATTGAACATAACACAATTTATAGAATTTCGTTTTTTTATATTCGCTCTCATTAAATCAACCGACAGCCCCTCAGTTTATTTATAGCAGAAACATAATTTACTTCGCGCTAAGGGAAATTGTAATAACGTTTACAATAAAGCCTTAGTTTAAGCTCATGAGCCTGGTGGTAATATAGAAGAATTAGCATTAATGGGATCTACAATCTAACGGTAGTAGAATATAGAACAATTTAGAATTTTATATCGAATTCTATTGTTTTTCGATACAAAACATATTGTAAAATATACCTATTGTTTTTCGTTTATAGTTTAAATACTTAAATGATTTGTAAAAAATTTTTTTTAATATTTTATTTACATGTATTCGTTATTAAACTGTTCTAGTTTCTCGCGCCTTTCTGCACATAGCCTATGTCACTCGTTTATGTTGTAGCTTCCCGTAGGTGAAAGAATACTGGTAATTTCGATCAATTTTAGATAAAATCAATAGACAGACAAACAACCGCTTTCCTTTTTTTACGGAACCTTTTAAGACATAAATAAAAATCATTACTTATTATCCTAACATAACTCACGAATTCTTAAGAATACGTAAACGTATACAAAAGAAAAATTCCACTGACCTACAAGTTTCTAGGACGTTACTGTTGTATTGATAAAGTATTTCCTCATTTTTATCTTTATTTATAACTTACACTACCTTCAATAGAGATGAAATATATCAGCTGCTAACAAATTAGTTACCAATATTTTAATGAATGGTAACATTTATTAAAACGATTAAATTTAATTAGAAATTGAGTACACTTTCAATATATTTTTCTTATTTGATTTACCGAACAAAAAATCCTTTATAATTCTATGTTAAAAATAATCCTTTTGAATTAAACTGTCATGATGTTTATCACTTACTATCATGTCAACAGTTATTCTTCTTCTTTTTTTAATCACTTATCTGCGCATTTCGTACAAATACTGCCAAAGTCAAGTGAATAAATAAATTAATTACTACATGTAAAATGAAAATGAAATGAATAAAAAATGGCGATGAATTCAATGGCCATGTCAACATTTGTCTGTCTCAAATGCCATAATAAACAAATTCTGAGCAAACAGTATTTATCATTGACATTCACTTGAATACTTAATCAAGATCATCATAAAGTGGCCAGTTAAGAGATAGTTAAAGAAGATTCTAGCTTCTATTAAAAAGAGGTATAGAATATATCTGGAGCCGAGCTGGATTCTAGAATCCGAAGTGAGAAATGCTCTGAGAAAACTTAAAATTAATAAGTCAGCCGGAAGAGACAGTGTTTTTGCTGAAGAACTGAAGAATCTTGGAGACATTAGCATGGAAATGTTGCAGAAACTTTGCAATCAGCTGCAGCTTTAGAGGACGGGGAAGTAGCCCAGGGACTGGAAGGTACTCGACAATGTCGTGTGGCAACTGTCAAACGGTGGCTCTGATATCAAATGCCAGTAAAATTATGCTCTATATAATCAGCGAGCGCCTGCAGTCCTACCTCAATTATCAAATACCAAGTGAACAGGCCGGTTTCGACAAGGGCCGAGACACCAGAGAACAAATTGTAAATGTGAGACAGATCATAGAAAAAAGCCGGGAATTTTATGTACCAATGCTTCTCTGTTTCATAAACTCCAAGGCTTTTGTCTGTGTGAGGTGGGACTGGATGTGGAGTATACTTGGGGAAATGGGAGTGCCTCACTGTTTGGTGTCGTTGAACGTGTGTTTGTACGAGGAGGGGGAATCAATGGTTAGGATGAACAATGTAGTGTCTGGGTCGTTCAATCCTCAAAAGGGAGTGAGACAGGGATACATCTTTTTCCCTCTTCTGTTTAACATCTACGGCGAATATGGGATGGTGGTATTTCGATAGGTGGCAGGAAAATCAATATTGACTTGAATCAACTTGCGATATGGGGATGGCACTAAATTGTTTGCTTCCTCTGAGATGGAATTGGCTGAACTATTCGGCAGAGTGGAGTGTGCGAGTCAGTTGGTGGGGTTATCGATAAATAAGATCAAGACTAAGATCATGGTGATTGATCGTGCCGGTGAGCTGGTGCGTACGGGAGAACTCTCGGGTTTGAAGTTTGTGAGCAAATTTATCTGCTTGGGCTCACTGCACGGAGACGAGCACAGATGGCCAAATCCGCAATGGGTGGGCTGACAAGAATTTGGCAGAACAGAACCATCTCGAACAACACCAAGGTGAGAATGGTGCGGACGTTGGTCTTCTCCATATTTCTGTACGGCTCCCAATCGTAGTCTATTCACAGATCGAAAAAGAATCGACTCCCTTGAGCTATCAGGGTCTGCTATCAGCCAGTACTGAGTTACTTTGGTCATATCGCTAGAAGACAACCCGATAGCTTAGACAAATTGGTCATTGTAGGGAAAATATATGGCAAACGTAGACGAGGTCGTTCACCGTAAACGTAGACCCGGTGGTCTGATCTTATTAAAACCGTAGCTGGACTCAACGTACCGGCCCCTCTACGCCAAACAGAGGCTAGGGTAGTGTGGAAGCAAATCATCAAAGCTTCAGGGATGTCAACGCAACTTTCATAAGAGACACGATCTTCAGCAATTAAGACAGCGACCAAAAAGAATAGAATATATAATAATTTAATAATTACATTAACAGGATGTTTATACTCAGAAGTTTTTTTTTTCTCGAAAAAACATTATTAAACCTATAATATTTTATACCTATGTATATACAATAAGTAAACTTTGAGAGCTGATTTCTATCAGCTGTACAAATATCTATATCTGATTTGTTAGCACTTTTTAAAAATGGAATTTCATATAAACGTTTAACGACCTTAATGTCTTCAATATCCTGATATAATTAATAAAGGAAAAAATTCGACGGCAAAATTCTATGCCGTCTACACGGGATCTCTATCACACGTCCGCCTAGAACACAGGCTCGTTTAATGTTACATTAGTGATTATTCATAAAACATACAATAGAATTTCTATTGAAAATGACTAATAATAATATTCAATACTTATTGAACAAAAAAATATCGGAAATATTATAAAATGTCGACGACCTTTTAGGCAAACACGTATATTATTCATAGTATTTAGAATTATCGTACTAAGACTTTAACATTAATAATATAAATGCCAAAAAAAGATGTAGATTCATTGATTTTCTGAGAATTCTTATGATTAGGACTCCGAAATATTACCTCATGGCACTTATGGGCCCAATACAGCCGACGGCAGCGTAATTGTTAGATAGGTAAACAGCGGAACGGTAAACGATCCTTTCAAAGGTCAAATGCCCACAAATTGACAGGTTATAATATTATTACCTACTATATAATACAAAAAGCAGTATCTGTATGTCCCTCTCCGTAAAACTTTAAAAAAACTCGATTATTACGAAAGGATTGTATAACTCGGTTTTTTTTTTGCTCACGTAGCATTTTATTTTAGTAAGTATTTATATAATTTTTACTCCAAATTTTCCACATAAATATACTTACCCGTCTAAGTTACTCGAGTATTGCTCGATGCAAATAGCAGAACTATGTGACAAATAACTTATAGCTTTATTTTCACATATCATTTTAGTTAAGCCATAAAGCAGACCAGATTAACTTTCTTAAAAAAATATTTCTGCCTTATTGATACGATATCCTTGCTCGAGTAAGTGTTCTATTAGCAAACATGCATTAAGGATTTAATGGCCACTTTTCAATAATATAGAAACTATAAAACTAAAGACAATCGACGCAGTAAAAGCGATCTTAAAGTATCGGCATAAAATTACTTTCAAGTGTAATTGAAAAGTTTCTGCAAAATAATGAAATTGACTGATTTTATCCTTTTATTTAATTCATATTACTATTTACAAAAAATAAAACATTGTTATGAAATGTAAAATGATCGACCTATAAAATCATTTGAATTATTATTTTAATTCTTATTACATTATGGTTTATATTTTTGATCAATTACAGTGGATTTCGACAGTATCAAAGACCATGCAAACCTAGTTGCAATATGAAAATTATATAAATAAAACAACATAACCTATGTTACTTTAATTTTACTAAACTATCTTCGATAAATAGAATAAATTACATGTCTTTGCGGATATAGCACTTGAGATACATAAGAATATATTCCAACGATTACATCGAACAAGGATCTGAAGAGTTGTATGAAAACATCAAGTTGAAACGACAGTAGTGGGACTTTGAAAACGGAGGCCATTAAAAGGTAATTCTAAGGCATAATCAGCTTGCACTTCGCCAGGTCTCGTTGTCAAATCAGCTAGCGGTGTAGGCGCATCGATGGACGTAAACGGTGTTACTTCTGGTCCAGCATATACTGGATACACCCTCGCTTCCGCTTCTTGTTTTATAGCTTTTGGTAGCTCCGGTCTCCATGTTACGGCGTCTATGTTCCCTCTCACTCTATCATTAGCTACGTCAGATCTGTCTATCTTAATCGCTTCGTTGTTCGGCCAGCTTTGCACTGATAAAGTCGGCGGTGAAGTGACAGGCATCACTGCTGGTGGAGGCCAGTCATCACGGCTCCTTTTCTCATAATAATCGTATGGAGGGGAATGATAAAAACCGTAGTTTACCGGACTTGAAGCAATCTGGAACAGAACATCTGTTAACGGGTTATCGGGGTGGTTATTAGTATTAGTGCTTTAAGCCTAACGTGTGATGTTTACTGTTAATTTATGTTTAATATTACTTTATTATCATCTTTTGCTATCTTATGAACCATCTAGGATGCACCAGTTAATTTTAAGTAATAAATAGTTATTTTATTTCAATATTTAGAAATTTAATAAATGTAAGAGAAAGAAAGGAATTAAAAAATGTTTGATTATATGAAATCATACCTTCCCTCTGTCATGATAACCATCATGACTAGGATCTACCTAAAAGAGAACGTTAACTTATGAGGTTAGGATATTAATAGGTATCACCGATGAGTTATTTGTATTAGTACATGTTATTGTTTAGTAATAAATAAATAAATATTATAACACCACAAATCTTATTCCTATAATTGCACTGTTATATTTGGATAATATAGATTTTTTTTTTTCAATATTAACTGGAATCGGGCCCGGGTTCTAAATCACAATGTCAAATAGGTTGCGTGGACGACGTATCGATTGTATTATTTTATAACTTTAATGAACGTAATACTTTCATAAAATTTCTTGAATAATAAGAGATGAATAATTCTAACAACAAAGAGAAACGAAAAAGTATAATATTGAAGAAAGTTAACAAAGTGCTCACGACCGACATTTTGAATATTTCATGAGCATCCACATATATGTCAATTCAAGAAACAACGTGAAAACTGTTTGGAGTTCCAAATATTCAGTTAAGTTCTTCGTAACGTTATCATTAGCAATTTCAAAGTACAATGAGGTTTAAGTCAGATGCTTACCTTTTTGAGGCCTTGAATAGAAGCTAATATCAAAGCCATTTTAGCTAAGAGGAGGGCCTTCCCACCGAGTACAGCTAGGAACTGGAAGCCCATCGGTATTAACACCATGCCAATGGAGACGATTCCGAACATCATCATTGTCATCATGTGATGTCGACGCCTTCCGCGATACTCCACTGTAAGCAAAATATCCTTATGCAAACAATGTATTAAGCCTGGAAGGATAAAGTCGTTAATCCTACAGCCATAGGATTAATAAAAAGCTGTATTTTTTAAATAAAGTGCATCTCAAATAAACATTAGTATGTCGGAAATGAATACATGAATTGGACTCGCTTTGTATACCAATTAATTATATCGGGCCAGAAGTTTGTAATCGAAAAATTTTTAAGTAGGTAAATACTCGTACATATTTTAGCCGACAGTATACTACAAACTCTATTTTTAATCACATCATATTAATCATTTTAAATAGAAATAATAATATAATTGTAGCAACTTAATATGCCTAAATAGTTGTAAGTATTAATTAATAACATTGAATTTATAATAATTATATTATTTCAAAGACACCTATTTTCGTTCTAATATCCAAAAGGATTGATGTATAATCATCATCACCAGCCCTTTTACGTCCCCACTGCAGGGGCTCAGGCCTTCCTTATGGATGGTTAAGGAGGATGGGCCATGACCCTCCACGCTGGCCCAATGCGGATTGGAGGGTATTAACGACTGCAAATGCAGCCGGGACCAACGGCTTAACGTGCCTTCCGAAGCACGGAGTAGCTCGAGATAATAATATTTTGGTCACCCATCCCGTGACCGACCCTTGCGAAAGTTGCTTAACGACTACGATCGCGGGCCGCGGCGCTTATCCACTACGCCACCGAGCTACTCATATAATCATCATCATCATGTATAATCATACTACTGATTAATGACGAAACATTATTCAAGTAAATATTAATTAGGTAGTTCTACATACCTAAAGATAAATTTAAGCTTGTCTCTTTTGTTAACAAACAGTAATTAAAATAATAGGTCTATATTGTCTATTAAAATGGGACTTTTCCAAATTTGAGTAAGTGGAAAGAAATCATTCGGAAAATTGTTCCTGAAGTTAGAATCTCTTGTGAAAGAGATCGCAATCTTTAAAAAAAACGGACGCTTTAAATCTTTATTATGCCTGCAACATTAACATTATTGCTTTTTCGTTTTGTTGCGTAATGAATGATTGGTAGAAAATTTTATTAACTATCTTAATTTTCATACACTGCAATGTGTCAGTTTTGTTACTTTCAATTTGATTGTTGAGATCGGTTAATAAGAAAAAGATGCCTGATTTTCGAGCTGTTTGAGCGCCGTCACAAAAACAGGAAAGCCCCAGGCGAGGATGGCATTACGACTGAGCTCTCCAGAGGCGTGGTGCTCTACGTAGTCGTCTTACTGTTCTTTAAAAAAGGAAACAAAACTAGCCTAACGAACTACCGACCAATCTACCTCTTGAGCCAGGTCTTTAAGCTGTTTTCGAGAGTTATCACAAACCGTCTCTTATGAAGACTTGGCGAATTTCAACCACCGGCGCTGGCCGGGTTTCAAAGAGGATATGACACCGTAGATCACATTCACCCAGTATGGCAGATTATACCAAAAAACAAAAGAATAAGCATTTATGGACTATGAAATAGCCTTTGACTTATTCCAAACCTGGTCTGTTCTGGCCTTGCAACGGTGCCAAGATGTAAAGGCACCTCAATATTTGTATATATTGATTAGCGGTATATACAAGTGTTGAGGTGTCATAAGAAAATGTTTTTTTTTCTAGACCTCGGCACTACTGGGACTTATTTTAAGATACCAGGTCCCGGACTATGCGCGAGGGTGGTACGGGGGGTTTTGCACGGTAGACCTGCTGTAGATAGGGGGTTCTTTAACCCTCCGCAGCAGGAGAGCCCAGGTTCAGTCAGCCTTTCATCCAGGTCCACGGCATGTTAAGGTCAGTTCCCCCATGGTATAAAAAAAAGACCTCGGGTCTAGACGTTGGGGTGATTTCGTTGTAACCATAAAACAAAAGTTTAATTTCGGATCTGAGCAAAGTCTGCGATGTAGTCTTATTATTTATTACATCAAAAATATAATAACATTAAAAAATTACCTTTATCGATATTCTTGGCATCTTCAAAATCGAATTTGATAACATGAGTGCGAAGAACCTTAGCCATCCGCTGCAATGCAAGAGATCGCCAATCCACCTCCTCAAGTTCCTTTTCTGTCCAGGCGCTAGTGATTCAAGAAAATAAAAGACAATCAGCTTTGCTATTCTATAATAAAAAATCAGTTAAGCAGTGCTGTCATACCAAACAGGTTCAATGAAACCTTGATTACCTTTTGAAGGAGGTTTCATTTGAATGAATCTCTAAGCTGTTATACTGGACGTTGTGTTCGATGCTGTTTTTTTTTTAAATATCAAGTAGTACTGTAACACATTTACTTTCATAAACGAACCTTAATTAATTAATCAATATTGCGATACCACAGAGGGATAATTTTTTTTAAAATATGAACATAATGCTTTTTTTATATATCTAAACTCACAAATTGCATAGTAATTACAGATTGTTTCAATCTAACCATGTTGGAGCTTTGCATTTACTGTGAATCACGCTCTCATAAACATGAATGTGTGTGGGTATTTCACGTCCGCCATCTGTTGAAATACGCAATATAATACTATAAATCCCGGATAAAATGATATTTACATAATATTCCTTGAATTAATGCGTGAATTACTTTTCATTAAAGTCGAACCTATTGAGAAAGTGTTTTATTACTAACTGAAGACTTACCTATAGTAAGTCAACATCAAGAAATGGTCGATAATAACCTCACGCGAGTGATATTTGTAACGCATAGCTTGTTTCGTAAGATATCCTGAGTCTCGGAAACAAATAAACCAAAATGTCACATCAAATAAATGTAAAATACAAAATGTATACAATAATATAACCAGATACAACTGATATGACTCACTGATGTACCTGTACAGAAGTCTACTTTTTAAAGCGGGGCTAATATAGGCCAATCAGATTGATTCAAGTATCACGCTATCGGACGATCCATCAATATCTCACCTGATCCCCGCTGAGTGAGACGAATACCTAATCTATATATATAAAAATAAATCGCCAAAGTGTATGTACGCACATAACTTCCAAACGACTGCACCAAATTGAATTTATGAAAAGATATAATTTATAAAAAAAAAACGGGTATATGGCGGTACGAAGTTGGCCGGGTCAGCCTGTACATTATATTCTACGTCTTATGGACATTCCAATAAAATTTGTTATAAATTTCGATCGGCAGCGACATATCTATCATCTCTTAGATTAATGAAAATAAGCCTTATGACAACGGGTTCCATATATTATACTTTAGCTCTAAATATTTATCATATTCGCCCACTTCGCTTAAAAACTGGCTTGAAGTAAAAAGTTTATCTATAAGTACTAATATTTCAAAGAGGAAAATTTTATTGTTTGTTTGCAACAAATAGGCTCCGGAATTACTGGACTAATTTTGAAAATTCTTTCACCTACTAATAGCTACATAATACGGGGTTAACATAGGCTATTGTTTTCGCGTGCGAAATCGCGGGAAAACAGGTAGTAAGAAATGAAATAAACCAATTTTCTTTTGGTCAAACTAAGCAACTGAAAAGCTATTTATATGAAAATTGGAAACTACAAACATGGTATAGGGAATTTCACTATAACGCGGACGACAAAATTAAAACCTGGTCACGCTTCAATCTGTCTGATATGTTCTCATGTGAATTTTATAGTAATAAGTATATGAAACCCTCATAAATAAAAGATCACGATATAAAAAAATCAAAACATTCGTCTACGTTCCGAAATTCTACTTTTGGGGCACTTTTAAATATCTCAAAATAATTCGCAAGAAACTTAATTTGAAATTGGGCACCAAATTTTCACCCACATTAAAAATAAGTTATATGACTTCATTAATCGCCTTTGTAGTTATTAAGAATTATTTTTCGATAAATTTGAAGTCGATATTAGATTTATTTATCTTTACTGTAATATTTTAAAGTGGTAAAGATTCTAACTTTTTTTGTTTAATTGTAGAAGATAATCTTCGAAAATACTGGTCCGATTTATACGTTGAATGGAAATTATTTTAGCTGCGGGAAGTGTGGAAATTATAGACTATGTTAATTTATGCGGGCTGTCGCCCGAAACAACGAAACTTAAAATATAATCTATTTAAGTAGAAAAGTGGTTAGTTATACTAACATAAATAGCTCAACCGTGCTTATATTTAGAAACTAAACGTCAACTCGAGAAGGATTTATAAAAAGAGTAGATACTGTAACGTCAGTGCACATGTGCACATTACTATAGGTAGGTTTACTCTCCGGACGTTTTATGGTCAATTATGCTGGCCATTAATATTTTGAATTATTAATTTTTCGCGTCCGAATTCGCGTGGTATTGTTTTTCTGGTTGATAATCTTTATTTTCTGACGGCAACCGGCTCCGAGAGAGAATTCTAGAAAAAAAATACTTATAAGTTATTTGATGTATGTATATTATTTGGTAATAAACTCGAATGTTGGACGAATTGGACACCAGATGGTGAAGCTCAGGGTTGCAAAATAAAATTCTTAATGAACCTACCTATAGTAATATGCACGGAAATGTACTGAGTTTTGAGATTAAATAATTATATAGGACTCGTATTACATAATCTTTTCATTTCTTTATTAATAAAACATATATTATAATTTAGAATACATAGAATACAACGAAGATATTCTGGTAATTAGATTAATTAAGTTGTGCTTAAAGATAGAAAAAGGAAGAAATTTCTGACTGATTTTTTTTCTACAAAAGCTGTCATATTATTTCCGACATGAAAATAATGAAATGTAATAAAGAAGATTTATTTGGGTATTACGTATAAGATGCCCATGGCGATAACAATAAGCTAAATCAAAAGCCGTTCTGATATGACTGAGGAGATATTGCAACCCCATTTTATTAGGGTTCCGCAAAAAATAACTCTTATTATTTAATGACCTGTCAGTCGGTCTGTATGCTACGTAATTTGGTAAAGATTTACTTTAAAAAAGTAAAGTGCATGCTATTTTTTATTATTAACAAAAAGAAAACATTTAAAATAAACTACGTTTCGATCTAGAACAACACGTGAACTTCATTTATTCTGTAATACATCATTCGTTGGTAAAGAATCATCATCAACCCTTTTACTTCCCCACTGCAGGGCCTCAGGCCTTCCTTATGAACGGTTAAGACAGGTGGGCCATGACCCTTCACACTTGCCCAATGTGGATTGGAGGGTATTAATGACTGCAAATGCATCTGAAGCCAACGGCTTAGCGTGCCTTCCGACGCACGAAGTAACTCGAGATAATAATTTTTGCTCACCCTTCCCGTGACCGACACAAGCGAAAGTTGCTTAACAACAACGATCGCTACGCCACCACCGAGCTACTCGTTTGTATAGAATAATGTTACAAATTTAAAAAAAAACGTTTGTAACATTGAATCGTGTTTTAATTCGCCCTTAGTACTCAAGTTGATTGGTAGGTGCATTCAAATTAGTAATTTTATCACTAATGTGCAAACTCAACACTGTCGCAGTATTATTGGTAAAATAACAAAGCTTATCTTCTACTTTATATTAACAAATATGCACAAACCTCGCATTCTGATGAATTTAGCAGTTCTAGATATATAATTAGTATATTTTTAATTTTCTATATAAGTATTTTATCTTAACTAATAATACTACGAGTATAAAGGTATAATATTAATGAAGGTTAAGTTTCTAACTTTGTTTGTTTGTTATTTACAGGAATACTGATCCGGTCATGTAAATTCTTTCACTCACGGGAAGGTACATCATACGAGGTTGCGGACGCAGTCGCGGGAAAACAGTTCGTTACAAAATGTGTAAGAACGGAACACTATACCTCGCGTGGCTATACACTTACCTCAGCAGCTCATGTTTGCCGTACTTTCGACTGGTACGCCTACGCAAACTAATAGCTCTTGTGAAATTTAGGAGAAGGGCACAATTGAAAAACACTTTTTTAATTTAACAACGGCTGCAAAATTTTGAAAATAATTTATTCTTTAATATATTATAAAGCGCATTAATAAATATTTTTGCAATCGATATTGAACTTCATTATTAATATACTAAGGCTTTAAATCGATTGGAAAAGTTTGGTTGTAGTACCCGACGTGCTTTTGGTTCACATTAAGTTTAAAAGATACAAATAAATACAGTTCACTTAATTCACCAATTTATCTTCATCATTCATAATCGCCGAATGTAAACTACTAAAGTTGGAATAATGAATCTTTGGTTTACAGTTATTTTGTGGTTGAAATTTCAACTATGTATGAAAATCCAACAATTTTGGTTAAGAGAACTTTGAGGGGGTGAAATAGGGGTTTAAATATTATATAAAAGAAGACGCGGGCAAAGCCACACAAAGATATGCCTTGCGCAAAAATATTGTATAAATACGGAACAAAATGAAACATAATCTTTTGATATCTAACCTTTAAAACGATACTCCCCATAAATATAAATAGCTTGTTCGTACTTGCAGAGAAAATATCATTCCATCGGAGCGAAATGTAATTAACGGTCAATCTCATATCCTATCTAATTCAACAGATATATGTTTAGGTACGAATATCATATAAGACAGAATACGATTTCAATCAGTGCACATGTTTTTCCTACTTTTATAAATAAATAACTTGCTGTTCTATTTCAACCTTTATATGAAAACCTAGTAGATATATTGGAACTTACCTACTAGCATAATAGTTGAATATTATTACCGTGAATACTAAATTACACGTTTATACGTATAATTTTTATTAAAAGGAGAAAATTTCTTCTTTATTTGTAATTAATTAGATATTTCAAACTTTATTTACCTACACATCAGATTCAAGCCAGCAATTTGTTTACTAAGCATTACTGTTTTGAATACAACAACTTTCTTGTATATCTATATTACTTTTGTAAGCATACCTGGGGGCCAATTCTACAAAATAAATTTTGTTTAAATTGAATCGAAAACGGATCGAAACCGAACGAAACTTCGATTCGATTTAAACAAAATTTATTTAGTAGAATTGGTCCCCTGACCGTACAGATATTACATTATCATAGTGATGTAATGTGCTGGATGTACTACATCAGCGACAACCGCGAAGCGATGCAATGCTATAGGCGATGAATTTCCTATATGATTTGGATCAGTAGTTCTTAAATAACAAAAACAACAAAAATCTTTTAAAAATATGTGATAAGTTAGCTACTAATTAATGAGAAATAAAATCGGTTAACTAAATTAGTCAAATGAAACATATAATCCAAAATTCACCAGAAATGTAAATTCCTCCAAAACGTTTATAGCTCGGCCGCTTTGCCACCATAACAAAGGCTTAAGGTTCTTATATAACTGTACTGTTCATAAGTAATGAATAATTGCAAAAATCTTTCTTGTAAACGGTAAATCTAATATAAAATGTAATATTTTAAGCGATTTTCGATTTTACATGTTGAAATTAATTTATTCACTTGATATTGGAAGAATTGTGTGAAATGGACAGATAAGCCATTAATGAAAGAAGAAGAACTCTATGGCATTGAAAAATACGTAAATCATGGCAGAATATGTAATGAGGTAGTCCCGTGTCCATAAAGAAAGGATCAGTGAATGAACGTGACAGACAATGAATTCGCATTGCGTCGCATTCATTCATCGCTTATGTAGGACAAACTGGATAACACACAAGATATGAACCCTTGTAGTGTTGACGACCGATCGAGAGCTCAATCGTCAGAGTCCCACTTTGCATATCTCAGCCACGGATCTTTTTGACAAGGCTTAACTGTAAGGGTTTCTATATTAGATAAATTTATAATTTTACATTTCCCGTCACAAATGGCATGTGTTTTTTTCATAATTTGGGTCAACTCACTTTTAATTTCTAAACTTTGAACAGATACATTCAAAATATATCTTTCAAGAAAAAGTTATATTATCTACTACAAATATAAAAATACCACATAAAACATATGTTTTAGTGTAATTCCTACCTCGGAATCATTTAATTTATTTTATTTTCCTTGGAAAACATACAGAATCGACATAACTAGAATACCATTGTCAAGGAGACCTTTCTGCAATAAATTTAAAACTTGATTTCAACAGATTAAGGCTCAAAATAGTTTAAAAACTTGCTATTTTATTACTGTATTCTTAAAATCGACATCGATATATCGTGGATTGTTTTATTATCTATATCAACCACGCACATCAAGTACACACATACATACATACTTATGTGTATGAATTTCTTTATTCTTCCATCACTTTTGAAAGATTTAACGAATGTTAATGTATATGATATCATTAGAATACATCATCCCCAGTGACACTGACTGTGCTATGGCTTAGCTATACAAACTTCTCATTACAATTGGGTTACATAGGTAACATATGTTCCACATACACATATGTAATGTGTATGTGGAACATATGTTACTTAGGTAACATAAGTTCCACAAAACTATCCCCCGACTGCACAGAGAATTTTGTTTACCCAAGCCATAGTACATCTTGTTTCATTTATTTTTAGTTTGATTTTGGCAGTTGTGATTTTATTTATTTTTTCTCGATAATATAATAAATTGTTTTCTTATTACCTGGTATCATTTTCCGGTACAATATTGCCGGAACGGTCTACCATCTCGAACCGTACCAAGTTGATGCCGTCTGCCACTGGCACCACGTCTGGATTAAGGGACCGGTCGAGGGCCCTCAACGTCTTACGCTTCATGCACCGGACAAACTTAGGGAAGTACTCGTTATGATCGATCACGTCCTTTACGTCCACTAACTGAAAAAAGAAGAAATCTGTAGTTGTCTTATAATTTATCAACTATCAAACTCAAACTTCACCTATAAAACTCGACATTAAATAATTTCATATCCTTATTAAAATATAATTAATAAAAATATTGCAACATTATGTTTTCTTTTTAAACATCAGATTCTTTTATCTCGGACCAAAGATCTTGTATAGACAAATCAAACTAGCTCGAAACTCGAAAGGTTGCGGTTCTTAATGACAAAGTTTATTTTAACGTTTGATTGCTCGTAGACCTGACAGTTCCACCATCAGGCTTTATATATTATCCATGTCAATACAAATCAAACGAACTCAAATTCGATGGGTTTGCTTCTTTATATTACATAGGTGCCATGGTTACTTTCCGGCTCCATCATCTGATTAGCTCAATTATTAAAATTATGCATGCAAAATTTCCGTTCAAACGAACAGCGGGAAGTGGGTCAGATTTAGCTTGCAATATTTGATCCACACTAACTTAGGAAGTATTATTAAACGAATCACTTTATCGCCTAGACATGATATGAGTCATTTAACAATAGCCTTATTTAGACATAGGTACATGACCATGACTCTTGTATGAATATTGTGTTTGCTTATTTGTTTCAGATTCCCATAATACTGGCGTTTTAGCTACTTAATTATGATGTTGCTAATTTATTTATTATTTAGATCTTAAACAATATAAGAATAATAACGCCTTCTGTAGATATTCGCCCTTGTTCATAAGACCAGGAAATCCTATTTTATGATATTTATATCATAATTACAATGTTTTTATCTAATATTTCTGTATATCATACGAAAACTTCTTTACGGTGGAAAGTAACGTAATGCAGAATAAATAGATGAAATTGATAAGTCCTATAGATTGCTTTGTTTGAAACTCAAAGAAATCTTGTACGAATTCGTCAAAGGGCTAAGCCATTTTAAGGGCTTGTAAAGCTTTCATCAAAACGACTTTGACATTAAAGGGAGATCAGTGAATACAAGTACCGGGGTTATTTAATGACCTCAGCTCTATTATTAATAGACCACTTACACAGAAATCTCACGAGTTGAAAAATATTATTAACTGTATTATAAAATATCAAGTTATTCATCGCCAATTAATATAATTTCATGTCACTTGCAAAGTTATTTTTGTTCATAACAAGTAAGGGAAATACTTGTTACGTTCCTATGTTTTCGTCTTTTAAACATTTTCGCAATCTTTAAATTGACTTTTGCCATTGACTTTTTTTAAACACAAAAGAGCTACGCAACTTCTTACTTCAACTTTTAGGTAAGATTTCCATGGTTCTTTGTCTTAAAGAAAAAAGCTCCAGAAATAAAATATTAAATAAAAACCTATTGATATTCGTTGTTGGGGCGATTTTCTAAATTATTAGTTAAAATTGCTAATTTTTTATTATAATTATATGAATTAATAGATAACAAATAAATGTTAGACAACACCACTTACATTACACAGGTCCCAAGTTACATAGCTAAAACCCTTGCATAATTCAAATCTGAAAAACGAAGGTAATTTTCTGCATTCAACCGACTGAGAATCGAAACTGATATCAGGGATCACCGAGGTGATAGCTCGAAACTTGTGTGTAAACCATATACTACCTACAAGGGCCGTCAAATCCTATACTAATGTCCGTTTCTCTCAAGGAGAATACGAGTAGACGTCGGTTTATATTGACGGTATAAAAATAAAATAAATTTAAAGTGACTCACTTTCTTCGAGCAATCCCTCCATATAATTTTAATGATGTCAGCACCTTCCAACCAAAGATCGGCGACGAAGCGACTTAGATACGCGTCGGCGTCATCTTTCTGGTTGCCATGGCAACCGGATATTAAGGTCAGAATGAAAAATGAGAGCATCGCGGAGTTCATGACTTGTGAGTGCATTATGACCCTCATGTCTTTATAATGTTTCCCATTTCTTAGAGCATGTGAAACCTGAAAGATATGAAACGAGGTTTATTGCACGTATAATATTAATGTACAATCGTTAATATCGTCAATTTATCTTACCTAAACTAAAGAGCTTATAATCTGTCTTAATAGATACCAAACAATCAATACCATCAAAAACATATCATGTACAAAAATGTCCAAATCTCACAATGCAATTTTTCTACCATAAAAAATTGTGAAATCAACGTAAACAAAGTCGATTAATTCACCCATCTTTCTGTGAGAGCAGCTATCCAACATTGTCATAGATTTTGGAATACTTAACAAACGCGCATACACACAATCATCACCTATTTACTTTCAAGCCAATAAATAGTAGAGTTAATAGCTTTCTATAGAATTTTATATTATATTATTTGCCACGCCTATGTGTTTGCCAAGTATTCCTATTAGCTGTGACACGGTTGGAAAGCTGCTCTCACAGAAAGATAGCTAATGAATTAATCGACTTGGTTTACGTTAATATTCATTCATATTCATAACTTTTTACAACCAGTTTCAGTTACGAGCATTGAAGCTCACTTACTCTCTGTCTCTGTAGTCTTTTTAAAAAGGCGTTAATGTATTGGTTTTCGATAAATCATATGATAAATCTGCTCAGTGAATCTACAATAGATTTATTGAGGGACTTATGATATTAAATTATATTCAGAATACATCCAAAGTTGACATTGATTAGATATAAACTGTTTATGTATGTCATTCTCGAAAGTACTACATATGCTTGACCACACGTAAATACTGAAGAAATCACTTAGCCCTTGTCTCTTATGTATCGATCATTATACCTTTGGATATATTAACAAAACCCATTTGATTCCATTTGTTGGACGTTCGTTGGCCCACTCCACTATGTTCTGTGGCCCACTCTGTGCGCCACATAGATTTATTTTTCGAATTTTGATGATCTATGGTCAGTCAGTAACAAAATTAAGGTTTCAAATTTCTTGTCCGAAAGGCTACTATAAATGCTGCTGCTATCGTACCCCAGATACAATTATTATATTTATTTTTTATAAATAAGATCTGACTAAGAAATTTATCACATTAAAGTAAGAAGATGGAAGAAATGCTTAAAATCATTACTCCACAAATTCTTATCTCAATCACTTTGAGAATTGCCACCAACGTAATATTAAAAAGACAAAATCTTGTCGGTAATCCTGGTAGTTAACCTGGAGAATTAGAGACGCCTCCATCTTATTTTCTAAATATATTTCAGTAAAATTGTAATAAATTGTTTAGCTTTCAGTATAATATACTTTCTAAAAATGTTGACGTGCTGATAAAAGATCATAAAAGATTTTTGAGCCCACAACTCAAACCATTTATTACTGGAATGTCGAATTTTTCAAGCGCTTATATAATTTGGCTACCAATGAAAGCTTATGTAAATTATTAATAAATCTTTGTATGTAATAAGCATCAATAAAATATTATTTATGATAAAAATGTGTCAAAAGTAATTAAAATGATAATGTTATACATACGTAGTATAATAATAATTAGTTTTGCAGTGAGAATACTGAAAAATCTTTGTAAAAGCTCAATCTCCAATTAATGTAATATATGACTACCCTCCTACTCCATCATCAGATCAGCTTCATTAACAGACTTCAAAATCGAAAAGGAGGTAATATGTTCGACAACGATATTTTTTTTATGCATGTTCACCGATTTTTCCGCGAATTGTTGATGTATTTTCAAAATTCTTTTTTATTCGACAGTTTAATGGCCCGGGGTGTACCCATTTAAATTTTATCAAAATCGAATCAGTAGTTTTCTTATTATAATAAAACATACTATGCTTTTCACCAGATATCACTTAATTACATTGATTTCTGTGTAATTGCTTAAGTCTATACTAATATAATAAGGAGGTTAGATTAGATTTTATTGTTTGATTTAATTGGTTTATTTGCATCGTATAGGCTTCGGATTACTGGGCTGATTTCAAAAATTCTTTAATCTACAGAAAATAACATCATACGAGAAAAACAAAGACTATATGTACGTGGACGAAGTCGCGAGAAAATAAAATAGTCTTACATAAACTATGCCATAATTAATGGCAACAGAAAATACATTAATCTTTCAAAATTTATTTGACTTGATGAAGTTATTGGAATTACAATTTACGTAATTGTTCTACTGGACGAGTAAAAATTCAGAAAGGAAGAAGAGAAACAAATCCAAATATAGACGAATATTTTAAATGTATTGGCATCACTGAACAACTTTAAAAAAGTTTTTAATTAAAGCAACGAATGAAACTTTACAGATGAAACTCAACGAGGGAGCATCGTTCACAACTTGTTTACTCTGATATTTTAAGTGCTCTAATTAAGGTGGCAATTATACTAGATTTGTATTTTTATTTGTAGGTACTACAATAATTTTGTAAGGCTTGTTTCCTACAAGTAAAAATATAGGTTTCTGTTATATGTCCGGAAAATATGACCATTTTCACTTATAAATATTTAAAAATATATTTTTTTAAATATTTATAAATATTCGGTTAGAAAACTTGGAAAAATTTGTTAAAACACATGTGACATTAAATTAATTATATAAAACGTTACAACTTTCATTATAACAGCTATAAACATAAAAGCACAAATAACAAAAATTTACCAGACGCCCATACTTTTTTCGCTACTATAGCACCGTATGATGGCACTTAGTGCCTTGAATTTATAGGAAGCTTTTTTGGCCGACTAGCAGCAATTCCACAAACATAGCACCATATCTCCGAAACTATTAATCGCAGACATGCTGTTACTTCTACATTATTCCTCAGATATTAATGAACTATTTATTTATAAAATAAAAATTAACTCAAAACTCAAAACCTAATAATTATTTTTTTGATTGCTTACATGTGTACATCACTTTTCACAAACTGATTATCTATGGGTATTTATTTTTATAGACACCTAAGCTATGGTAAAATATATTTTAATAGCTACAATATGCATCGCTTTCATTAATTCTCAATAATTTTCAGGAGAAAACAGTAAAAAAATAATTAAATTATTTTAAAAGTTTCAAGCGTATTATTGACTATGAAACGACTACATACTATTTTGGTTTAAAATTAAACTCCTATATTTAAAATGGCTAAGGAAGTAAATTATTTCAACTTACCTATTAAATATACACCAAATAAACTAGAATGAAACTAACACATCCTTTGAAATAATAAAAAAATAGTAATAATGCTCTTTCCACAGTCAAGGTCAAAACAAGAATGGAAAATACTGATGACCCCCTTACATTATATGCGTATCGCACTATGGAAAGCGATCCATTATCTATGGGGTTCAGAAACCAAATCATGTTAATGAATAGCCGTATGCAGTTTTGTGCATAACCGTGACGTTGGTGGCACATGGTTATTTGAGACCGTTGAATAAACATGGACTGCAGTTGGTTAACATGCGAGTAATAAATCTAACATTAGACTAGTTTCTAAAAAAACGATATTGAAAAGTGAGAAAAACGGAATACTTCAACTGCTTGTCTACGTCGTATTAATAAAAGTTCACAACCAAAAAAGTTCATTTAGAAACTTCACAAAGTTACCACTGATCTTGTATAATTATAATATATACTCCTAATTTAGTCACATTATGCCTTCCCATTTATTCAAATTCATTATTTAATTATGCTTTAAATATATTACATAATATACTCTATTACTTCTATAGTCACTTTGTAGCCCAGGGCTAAATGCTACACATTTTCAATAATCGTAATAGTTTGCGGTAATTAATTGAAAATTTAATATTATTTTTATGTATGTCCTTGTCTATCGCTGCGCAATGAGAAAGCGCAATAAGATAGATAATGAGAGGAAATCCGTGACCCATGACGTTGAATGCATTTGACAGAGATAAACTCTGATAAAAATATGTAAAATTGTGTGATGCGTAAAATAGAAAGGTTCTGCCAGTATCAGTAGAAAAAGTAAAAGGGTTATTTTCGTTCGTTATACAAACTGTATGGCCAACGGATTCTTTGCTATGCAAATCGTGTACGTATCGCCTCTCGATTTTAACTAAGCCTCATCTGCCTTTGATAGCACCGTTTGACCCACCTTTTCCTCGTTCGTGTATATTGAAATATAGCAACTTTTATTGGGCTGGTGATTTATTTTAGGTGTTAAACACGACATATATAATAAAATCACTACTTATTATATTTAAACAATTCTGCTTTCAAAATATTGATTCATGATAAAGAAAAATGTAAACAGAAAGGCACGTGAACAGTTAATCTCGATTAAATTTGACCTTAACACCCACCAAACCGCTCTGCACCGCAACTCATCTGATGATGGAGCCAAAAGGTAGCCGTGTGACCTCCGTAATTAAATGAAGCAAACCCATCGAATTTCGGTTCGTTTAATTAATCTTGACAAGTAAGTGGTTTGGTCTGAGATAATATCCAGAGTCTAATCATCCACAGGAATTTCGTTATTGCGAGTAAATACTGCAACCCTGTCAAGTTTCAGCTGACTCGATCTAAAAAAAATAATAAAATTGGAGTGTCTGTTTGTAATGTTGAAATTACCGCTTTTTACTAAATATACACGGTACATATGCCAAAATAATATTTTCATCTGTTTGTTTCTTACAGCTAATCTCTGAAATGGAAAAAACTGGCAGACTACTTTCCGTGATGTCGCGGACAGTTAGTTTGATATATGAAGATCCTTGCTTCTAGATAATATTCAACAATAGTTGTTTTTTAATAATAGGAGTAAAAGTATGAAATTACCGATTTATACTGAAAATCTTTTTTTTTAATTCATTTAATCAAAACAGTTATCATTATCATCTATTATACATTGCTGCCATCTAATAGGAAGGTCATTTATGCCTTTGCGATAAAACTCTGAGGATCTAGACTGCACAAACTGTGTGAAAGCATTTTGTACTGCCTCCTGGAAAGACGTTATGTCCGACTTTTGTCCCTTACATAATTTTCCAAATCACGAAAAGAAATGGTAGTCCGTTGGAGCAAGGCCTGGCGAATACGGAGGTTGTCGAATGGTTTTTAACTGCAGTTCCTGAAGGGTCAAAACGGTTTCTCGTGCTCTATGAGGTCTCGCGTTGTCATGGAGCAATAATGGTGAAGATCGATTCATGAGTCGGGGCTGTTTTACTACTATTTTTGCCAACATTGTTCGGAGTTCGGCACAATAGCCATCTGCCGTTATTGCTTGACCAGATCGTAAAAAACTATATTGAATAACACCATGCTGAGACCATCAAACCGTTACCATTACCTTTTTATTGGTTAGTTTTGCTTTAGGACACTGTTGTGGCGTTTGACCTGAGGTCAGCCATTGCATTTTTCTTTCACGGTTGTCATAAAGAATCCACTTTTCATCACATGTCACTATTATATCCTATATTCCTTCATTTTTGCACCGATTCAACCAGACAACCCAAGTTTCAACACGCGTTTCTTTCTGCAGATCAGTCAAATCGTGAAGCACCCATTTTTGTTTTTTTATTTTATTTTATTGATTTGACGCAAGTGAGTCAATATTGTAAGTAAGGTAACGTTAAACCATGCCGCTAATTCCTGGATAGTTTGACTAGGATCAGCTTCCACCATCTCTCTTAATTCATCGTTATTCACCTGTGTGGGTCTTTTTCGTGGCTCGTTCTTGAAGTCGAAGTTTCCTTCACGAAAGCGTTTAAACCAAAATTGCACAGTGCATTAGCAGACCCCTCTCCAAACGCAACATTGATATTGCGGGCTGTTTCTGTTACGTTACTTCCGCGTCGGAACTCATATTCAAAAATCACTCGAATTATCGCAGAAAGATGGACATCTTTCTTGTCTAAGTTGAATAACAAAAACAATTGAAAGTCGATGTTCAAATGTTTCACATTTTTTAAAAGAAGAACATCATAGAAACCATGTGAAAAAAGTTTCTCAAACCATGAAGATTCTATGCCAATTTAAGGAATCTATTACAATAAAACGGCAATTTCATACTTTAACCCCTAATAATAGTTAATATGGTAACGATCATTTCAACAACAATATGAACAAAACATATGAACTCGCATGTCTAAATTTGGGAGAGTTCTGTCTTTATCAAACTCTAACTGACCCAAAAGTTTGAGAACCTTTTTGATAGCACCCAGGGGCACCGGATACGCATTGGGACCACTCGATG